TACTCTATTTTTTTTTGACAAATATAGGGAAAACCTATTGTATTTCAAACTTTCATTCTTATCATTTGAACATCCTCTATACGATGCAGCAGTACAAAAAGTTTGATAATGATTATAAATAAGTCCCGATAAGAAAGTCTGCCATCCATATAAACAGCGAGTTGCTTCAATTATATACAGTTCATTGCTGGATGTGGAAGGTTTTTCGAAGGGACAGCTGAACAGATGCACCAGTCATTGTGTGTAACTCTGGCTTCATTGCCCAAACCGACGCAAATTTACTGCGGTCACGAGGTAAAACAACTACGATTGTAAATTATGTTTCGACTACTGATTCTTGAGATGGAGAACTCAATTTAACATTTTCTTACAAATCCTCTCAGTACACGGTGAAGAACCTGGAGTTCGCTCTGACGGTTGAACCAGACAATGAGAAGATACATCAGAAGTTGTCATGGGCACGACGACAAGTCCAGGCTGGTCTACCCACAATCCCTTCGACTATAGAGGAAGAGCTCGAAACAAACCCTTTTATGCGCGTTGATAATCCGGAGATACAGGTTCTTGAATTCCTCCCTCCAATGCCCATGTAGGGGTGGGCACGGGTCGAATAGCCGAAATAATCTCCATGTCATGAACTCATCTCGATAACTTGTGTTCTTTCAAAGATGGTATCTTTGGTTAGTTAGTAGTAAACCCTGGAAAATCTCCAGTCATATTCCCCAACTTATAATCTGCATAATTTCGGCATAGTATATTTCATCTATCAGGTCTGATATTTCTCTACCGATTTGTGCAGGAGAAGGTTGGTTGCCAGACGGCCATTGAAGTGCTCCGAGAAATTCGGAAAATGAAGGATCATTGGAAGGGCTGAAATGTTGTGAGCTTCAGCTTTCATCTCCACTTTCATTGAGCAAAAGCTTTGGTTATGTAATGTGAGAGAGACGCTTTAATGGACGTCTGGTACGATGTTTGAATTAAACATCCTTTAACCGGTTTGTCAAACCGGTGCCAAGCTAAAACCGATGTATGTTGTTTAAGCGTGTTGGGACTTAAATATATTTTCTTGTCGGCAATTAGTTCTTTTTTTGGAGAAAAAATCCTAAGACTCATAAAAAAATTGGGGTTGTCATATCAATTCTTAAAACATAATCGTGTTTATAGATATATAGTTTATTAAACAAATTAAACTAATAAATTCGTATACAAATCCGAAACCAATTCTTACCCTGTTGGCAATTAATTCTTTTTTGAAAAAAAAAAGTCTGCAATACTAAAATGAAAAATTTAGGGCGGTCATATAAAATATAGTTTATTTGAATTAAATCATTAATAATTCAATTTGATTTAAACCAAATTATATTAATAATTTTTAATTATATCCATGATTCGAATATTATTTGATTTGATTTAATTTTGTTATGACCTTTGGGATTTGATAAATTGTTATGGAAGTGTCATAATTAATTTTTTATTCGTACACGTTAGCATATCCACCTTCTCTCCTCCTCCTCCATCACCCACTGTATTTAAATCAAAAGCAAACTTGTTTGTTTATTTATATTGGATTATAAAAAAAATGTAAATGAAAATGTATTTCACATTGACCAACAGAAATCTCTCTACAAGTTTATAATTTATTAAAAATTTAATAATCTTTTGGCAAATCTTCCCCAGAACCATCACGTGGTTTGCTTGCCCGTCAAGTTGGGTGCAGAGATGGTCAACTCGTAATCTGTCTTCGAATCTCAAACCGGACCGGACCGGACCGGACCGGGACTATACCGGATGTATAGGAAAGAAGGAAAAAATTATTTTTTAAAAAAAACTACAGAAGTTACCCTATCTGCAATGGTGACTCCAGACAGCAAAAACAGAGTGTTTCTGATCAGTTGTTGCTCTCTGCTTGTTCCTGTCTCCTTGGGATCAGAATGTTAAAATGGTTACTCTGTGATGTATACAGTGTCTTCCTTTGATTCTTCTGGTAATGCTGACAATAAATGATGAGAACCCAAGACAGGCTTCGACGAAAATCTGTTTTACTGTCTGAGAATTTACGACACAGAGAGGGTAACTCCTGCCTATCTTCGAGCTTTTGCCCAATTCCGGTGGTTCATCCCGGGTTTTCTCGGTTGCGGCTTCGGGATTGTCTCCAGCACCTGTATCGTCCTCTGCCTCTTGGCTGTTTAAAAATTTAAAAACTTTGCTTGCATCAGTCTTCCAATGTCTAAGGAAAGTTTGAAACTTTGAGATGAAGATGAGATTTCAAGGGAACGAACTGTTCTCATGTTGCTGGTAGCTCTCTTGGAGTTTCCTCTTTGTGAACTCAAACTTTGCGTCTTCGTCCAGACCCTTGAGTTTCTGAGGAAAGACAAGAACAAGAACAAGATCTTACACATTCGAACATGCTAACTCGATATTACATAAAACAAATAGTTTGTTTCCACATTCACCTCCTGTTGAGCTCCTGGAACATTCGGCTTTTGGATCGAAGGTTTTTTGGATTTTTTAATACATGGCATTATGTTCCTTGCCCCTTGTTCTATACTTTGCTTCAGGGTTCTTCTCGGTCCATCGGGTTTAATAGATCTCACAGGAGCTTCTTGTCTCAGCATTGGTTTACTCTTGTCCTTGGCGACTGGGCGTACTTCATTTGTAATCTCGGGTCTCCTCTTCACGATATTTTGTGGTTTTCTATTGTATTCTCCGGAATTCCGAGGATCTGAAACAACATGAGTGTCGAGACAAAGGGTAATTTCAAGTGAAGAACCAAAAAGATAAGCATGACATCAAAGACAAGAAGAGGGCATTCAACTCACTTCCATCGAAGTCATCCATCCCATCGAAGAACTTCATGCGACGAAACCGATGTGAAAAACAAGCAAAAGAATGTATCTTTCAGTCCTTTGTTCCAAGAGGCTAGTTTATTATCAACAGAGTAAAATCTACAGTCTGAAAAGTCTAAATCTTAAGGGCATGTGTATAGATAGACCTGTCCGAGTTCTAATCCAATAGGTCCGGTAGCGAAGAGAGCTCCTTCATCCATTGGAGGAGAGGGAAGCCCTTCTTCTTCATCAACTACAGACGGGTTTGCAGATTCCGGCGTGCCTCCAGCAACTGAGGAAGCGGAAATTAGAACCGAGAACCATCACCCCGAGTAAAGATAAGATGCTTAAGAAGAGAACGACATGAAAAGCTACCCGACAGTGGGATTGGAACCGAAAGAAAGAGAATAGTTACCAGTTATTTCCTTGGTGGTATTCACCCATTGGTCCACCAGCTCTTTCCACTCTCTGAACAACCAAAAGAAACACCAAATGTTAAAATGTCATCTGAGGATTTAGACATCCTTAAGGAATCTACGAATCAGCCAACAGAATTCTGAATATATAATCGAAGAAGAGGGATATGATCAACTGAATCAGAGATGGTCGGTAGACAGACACATGATATGCTACCGCAGGCTAAGTTTCGGCATTACTATGTTACCATTTTCTCTGATTTGTTCCTACAAACTTCCCAAGGATTTTTGAATACCTCCAAATTGCTTACCATATCTTGAGTTGGAAATATCATAAAAACATATGAGGCGGCGAGAAAATGAATCGGTAGGGTTTATGAACGAAAACTAGGGGTCCACTCTCTCCAAATCTTTCGCGGTATTCGACATAGGCAAATGATTCAAGCGGCCATGAAAGCACGGAAGGAAACCGAATGCATAGAGAGAGAGAGAGAGATGAAAGCTCATACGCGATGAGAGTCTTTGCAAGTTGGCGAATCTTATCAGACCCATGTTTCCTCATGCCATTAACAGCCTTTCCGATTTCGGTAGCCTGTAAGAGCGCAAACCACCGATTACTTCCACCATATTTATTAGCTCCAAAGCTCAATGAGAATCAATATCAATAGCTTGTACCAGATCAAACGTTGTAAAGACAAGCACCAGACACAAACCTTTAGAACATCCACGCTCAAAGACATCAACTGGAGCTTCCTCAGGGATTCGAAAAGTGCAGACTTTGGCTGCGAAAAGAGGATAAAAACCGAAACACAACAATCAGAAAGCTGCTACAAACACGAAGAACAAGTGTCCAATCATCGAAAACTCCAACACAAAGGATCAGACAGCAGAATTTGATTTAACTCTTTGAACAAAAGGAACAACCTGATCTTCACCGTTGAGCAAGATATCTTTGATCCTCGTGACCTCCCCAACAATCACAGTTGTCTCTTCAATCTCATCGCTCAATGCTTCAGCTTCGCCATAGCTGTAATGGCTGATAATCTGATTGTTGTTCAAATTTGTCGCCTCGTCGATATGATTATCTCCTCTGCTACTATTAGCCTTACTCTCCTTACTACCGCCAGCTGCAAACCCATCAAAATAATTGCCGTCGTCGTCGTCGTCACCACCATCGACGGCGACTGCTCCGCCGCGGTAATCCTCCCTGTCTCCACCGTCGTTTCCGGGAACCGACAGCTCGAGATGGTCGCATCCGCTGCATCTGCTCACTCTGCAAGAGAAGAGAAGCTCGGCGATTTTGTCTCTCCGGGACTTGAACCCTTTCGGACAATCTGCGGCAGCGACCATGATTGCATGATCAATGATCTCGAAGATATCAGAATCTGCTCGTCGGAAATAGTCTCTCCAGCTATCCAATGAACCCGATGGTTTCATTTTCGTCATCGACGATGGGGGAAAATCGATTTCAAACCCGATTTTCGGATCCAGAAATCGGATTCAACTCGATTTTCCCTGGAAACTGAAGCTACCCCAGAAAGTTTAATGGAATCCCCCGCTGAATTTCCCCGCACACCAGAAAATCTCGAGACGCGAAAAAGCGATGTTTTTCAAACACTTCGCAGGAAAAAAACGAGTTCCCAATATTTTTTTTTGGTGAATCGGGTGAGAGACGAGGAAGAAGAAGACTAAATTAGAGAAGAACACAAAAATCTATCCGCGGGATTTTCAATGCCTTGCTACCACGAATCCAACAGAAAATCTAGGTTTTTAGTACATCTAGAGAAAGTTTATGTTATTCCCTTAGCGATGATCAAATGGATTCTCGACAAGACTGGCCATCGAACGAACCGATACTGATGGTCACAAGAATCCGTTGATGGTTCTGCGGATTTTCTTTTTTGCCCTTCAATTTTTTTCCTTCTCCCTCCATGCCCTGAGAATCTGACAAAACTTTCCCAGAAAGTTGATCCAGAATTTTCCAGAGAAAAAAAATGAAAACTTGAATCAATTAAGGGAACACGAAGAAAAAAACCCTCAGACCCAAGAAACCCAACATGAAACAGTTGTCGTTACATTGTCATTCGAACCCATGTAAATTCGAATCGGCAAGAAATCTCCTTTTTTTAGAAATAAAATCAGGGTTTCTCTCTCGAAGAAATATAAATTTTATTATTATTATTATTATTATTATTATTATTATTATTATTATTATTATTATTATTATCTCATTCTCTGTATGATCTGTCTGTTTGGTAAAAGGGTTTTTTTTTTTTTTGTGTAGTTGGATATTCTTTACGGTTTCCTTTTGATCTGGTCGGTCCAATATGGCTATTTACTAAGAGCACAAACAAGGATAAGATAAAAAGTAACAAAACAATATACAAATATAATTCGGTATTAAAATTAGTTAATTGTAACTTTTACCTTAAAAACAAATAGAATGAAAATAATTTGAAAAAATAATAATAAAGATCAAAATTCTTAACATAAAACTTCAATTCAAATATATTTTAAACCTATTTCAATTTACATATAAAAGACCAATAAATATATTTATATGAAATTAAAAATCAACCAATTCAAAAAAACCAAACCGAAATCAGAAATGTCAATCACTGCTAAATAGTTATATTTATTTCATTTTTCTTATTTTATTTTTATAGACATACTTAATTGAGAAAGAAAACGACACAATGACATCATTTTTTAGGAGAGGTTTTTGGGGACCAGTGGATCACTACCCATCACTGAATTAACAAAAATATTTTTGTTCTTTATTTACTAGGGGTATTTATTTTGATCGTTTCATTAATTAACAATAATCGCCATTTAATTTTGCCTTTATATATATAATGACAAATTAAGTCTACAGCAGATAACATTTCCGGAGAAATATCTTATTCCCATTTTTTGGAAACCTTCAAATTGTTTTACTCGCTCACTTTCAAAATATTTGTTGTTTTTTATTGTTTCACATTTTTTTAAATCAAAAGTCATATATAACCTTATCCGATGATAAAAACAATGCAAAATCATTACTAATGTATTGGAATTTGGTAGGGATAAAATTAGAAATTATTATAAAAAAATCTTGAAAATGTAAAACTACAAATATTTTGAAACATAGAAAACAATCTAAAACTATAAATATTTTGAAACGGAGAGAATAGTAATTCTGTGTCAAATTATTTTTGTTTATCTCCTTATATGGTGAAAAAGATATCTTTATATCAGACTCATAAAAAATAAATAAATATCCATTGCTCATAACATTGTGTTTTTAAAATAGATAATATTATTGAAAAAACCCTTAACTGTTGTAATAAAGATTTTTAAATTCTTATAAATTGGATGTATTTACCACATATATAGTTTTAAAATTCGAATTTCCCCTGAAAATAACTGTATTTTGCAAAATTATCTATTTATTTGGGGAAGTTTAAATTGTGGTAAATTCATTTGAGATAAAATAGGGTCAGATTATTTTATTTCCTAAGAGAGTTGATGTGAGGAGACATTGTTACTTTCGTTGTTAATTTTTGGTAGTCTCTTTTATAATAACTATAAAAGAATTTTTTAACTGCTGTTGAGTAGTTATAATTAGGTAGTAAAATTACTCACATCCCATCTCCATCTTTAATTAAAAGTATTAAAAAGGATATAAAGCAAATGAGCTTCAATTATTGTGATAATCACTTTTGTTGGCATCGCTTTATTGAAATTTCATTACCATAACAAAAATTAGATGGAAAAAAGAGAGAAGTTTATGTGATCACAAGACTTAAAATATTTTAAACCTATTGATGTTAATAAATATGATTATTTATTATTTATTCTTTATAAAATGAATACTTCTATTACCACAAACTAATTCTGTTCACATACTATAAATTTATAATACATCTTTAGATCTTCCATAAATTTATTGAATTAGTGAATCAAAGATTTTGAAATTATCTTTTGTTAAGACTTATCATTCAAATGTTTTACAACATTAAGAATGACAATAAAATCAACAAAAGTAATAAAAGTCAAAGTTGTGGTGGTCGGCAGTGGCATGTATCTCATCAGAGCTAAACTGACAGCACCGTCACGTCGGGATTAATGACGGACGGTCCATAGCCGCCACGTCATTGGAAGGGGCGGGTCCCTTACATT